AGCATGGTCTCTTATTTGATAAATCCCAGTTTTTGATATTCAGTCAAGTCTGATTTTTTGAGCAAGCTGAAATACTCATTGTGTAATAAGAAAATGTGTAAAACTTCCTCATTTTATTAGCAAGCTCAAGGCTACAATTACTAAAAGCCCCTACCGTAAGATTTATTTGCTGTTGAGCCTCCTCTAACTTTTTTTTAAAAATTTTTTCTCAAAAATCATTCTGCTCGCCAAAATCATACGAAGGGCGAATGGAAAGAAATTCCAGCTTCTGAACAAATAACCTTAGATCTTCAAAGATTTGAAGTCAGTACTGAACTACCTACATCGCCGCCTAATTCTATTCAAGAATCTGTCCAAAATGAAATTAGTCTGTCTTGCTGCACATTTCTTAAGCTTTAGTTTGTGGAAAAACTGGTACAAGATGTATTTTCTCTGTTAAAACTCCCTTTTTCCGCTTTCATATAGCAAATTCCAAATTTCAAGTATTTTAAACTTGACTGCTAATGAAATGAGTGCTTCATTTGAAGTTGTCCTTTACAATCAAAAAAATTAGCTAGGACTTTGCTTTTTTCGTATTAACTACTGGTGAAGCGGCATCAATGGAATCACACGTCCGTCTGATCATGGCGTTTACTCACATGATCTTTGTATTTAAATTATTGGTTTTACCATGAATAGAACAAGGAGAAAAAGAATTTTTCCGTCTGCAAGTTCCAAAAAATTTCGCACTTTTTAGCCTTTACTGCATCTCACGCTTCCACTATCATTCGCCTACATTGGTGAATATCTTATATACCAAGGAGCGTGAACTTCTCTTCATATTCAAGCTTGCACTATTTTTCTTGAAACAGAAAATATGAAAACTCAGAGCTTTTTTTGTGTAACTGCAATGCTACAATTTAATCATAAGATATGTCTGAGTTATTAGCTATAAGAAGAGTGATTCTTGTGTAACAATGCCACGATTAACCACCGGTACTACTTTTTTCGGTAACAGTAAACACGAGCCAGTAAAACCTTCTATCTCTATCCTTCGATTAGCCCTAAAATAATTGCAGCC